ATGTTTCATTTAATGTTTCATTTGAAGTCTTTATTTGGGCTCTTGACCCTTTACTTTCAATGTTTCTCTTACTGCTGTTACTGTATTTTAATTATATTTGTTATGGCACGAGAAAATATGATCAGATGTTTATTGATGATGACATAGCCTAATCAAGTTGATCCAAGTTTTTGAGTACATGGATGATGTGCATTTATTTATTTTTGCTGTTAGTTATAACAGTCTTTTGAAACTACATCATGTTATCCAGCAGAGCAGAACGATTTGTGGGAGTTTGTCTTTCATAAATGCTCCCTAAAGTCACTTTCTGTCTTTCCTCGGCCAAGAAGGCACCAAATTCAGAATTGATTGTACATTTTGACTACATATATGACCCAATTTCAATAAAGATTATTGTTGCCACACGGGTGAAATGCTCCTTTAAAGCGTAGGTTTCCAACATCGCGTAGGCTTTCAACAGTGAAAAAAAAGTGATTGATTAATTTATATTTTTACTTCTATATATATATATGTGTGTGTGTATTATTTTTTTTTAAAAGTGGTCTCTAGAGCTAAAGTATGCGGGTCTGCAGCACGTTGTCCTACGTCATTACGTTCTGTTCAGTTTGGGGCGGGGCTTACACGTCTGTCTCAGAGGGAGAAACCCAAAGCAGTCGAATCAGAAAACTACTAGACGCCATTTCAAAGAATTCAAGATCAGAAATGGCTTGACATGACAAGGTAAGTTTTTTTAAAACGTTAAATAGCTATAATATCATTATTATTATCAGTAAAATCAATGTAATAGGCCCATCAATAGCATATATCTAAAGAGCATTTGCGTCTAACATAAAACGTCGAACTCAAACGTGATCGTTACTTGCTACTTTATTTAGATAGCATAGGTCGTGGTTTGTTATGACTTTCATAAACCATACGTGAATATATGTTTAATCCACAAAACGCAATAGTAAAGCTATCTGAGTTTGTCTCGCATCGAATAATGTCGAAAGTAAACTGCAGCCACGCCTGAGAGGCCCAACAGCAGCCGAGACTGACGTGACCTGTGCTGCAATCTTACAAAACTTGATGATGAGTGTAGATTTATGTGCTGTTACTGAAAGAAATAATAGACTGAACAATGTGAACACAGAAACACGTTGTTAAGCTAAATATTTTAGACTGAGAATGAAGGTTTAAGTTGACGTTGGTCTGCTACAGTAGCTTATCATTTAGGATGAATATAATAATCCAAAGTTCTGCGTCAAACTTCCTTATTTTTAATTAGTGCAACACAAGATTTGTTAAGTTAAACACATAGCCTACCCACAAACTTTGTAAAGCACAACTACTAAATCCCAAAGGAATGCAATAAGTTGTGTACGTAGTAAACGCTGCTCCATCTGAAAGCACTGCGAGTTTAAGTCGCTTATAACATGTTTTTGATAAAGCAACACGCGTCAAACATCTTTCCCAACATGAGAAGCATTTATGAACCTTTTGTCCAATAAAAGACAACATTTAATAATGTTGTTTTACTCCAAACTCACTGTCAGTTGAGGGTTTGGAAACATCCTTCTGTGAGAAGATATTAGCTTACTCAGAATAAGGCAGGCACACAAAATATTATTTCATAGTAATTCTATAGACCATTTCACAAGATGTAAACAACACTGGTCCAGAAACACTTCCTGTTTTAGTTTGTAAGTGTTTTCTTTATTTCACATTAAAGAAAACATCTTAAAGATGTTTGTTTAACTTTTTAATTCAGTTTTAAATGTTCTGTTGGTGGTTTTTTATCCCAGCTTTTATGTAGTGTTAAAAAACTGAAACAGGAAGTGCTTCTGGACCAGTGTTGTTTACATTTTGTGAAATGGTCTATACAGTGATAAAGGTTATGTCGATTAGCTTTGAAGTATAAATATACTTTATTATCATGAAAATACCCAAGAAGGCTTAAAGAACTATACAGATGACCTTATTGTTCGTGGGGTGCTTCTCAATATCCCTCCTCCGTCCTCCATCCTATGACCCGGAAACCGATCGAGCTCAGCCATCTTAAAGGGCATCTCAATTCTCTAATTGCACCATGAGGAGTCGAGGATCGAGGAGTGAGGAGACTTACAGAGGAGTCATGAGTGAGGATACACATGTGCATCCTATGCAGAACTGTTTTATTGACTAAACGTGACGCACATATCAATTCTTCACATCGGTCACAATCATTTTAATTTATCCTTTACCTTTGCAGTTTTTATAAACCACACTATAAGATATTTCAACAGTGCAGCCTATCTTTTATTATTATTTATTATGAATTTATTTAATAACCAAACTTCAACAACATAAGGGCCGATGCGTTTAGCGCTGCCGATGACACTGTGGAGTGATCAAGTATTCCATAGTTTATAAAAAAGCTTTTATTCGATTCCTCCGTCCAGTTTGTTTCCTTTCCGTGTCCTTCCCTCACGTCCTACAGGGGTGGAGCTGAGACACGAGGGAAGGAAACGAGGATGCACAAATAAGAAATGCGAAGCACCCCTGGAATGATGTGTGTTATCTACTTCTGCTGCGGGGGATATTTGGAGTGTCTGGGTGAGAGCAGCCTCTGGTGTTCAGATGTGGTGTATGTGTGTGTGTGTGTGTGTGTGTGGTGTGTGTGTGTGTGTGTGTGTGCGCGCTCTGGTGTTCAGATGGAGCAGCATTTACTACTGATCATCAGCATAAAAAAATCAGCCTCTCTTGGTCAAATCACGTGCGGTTTAATTATGATTAATCATGCAGGCTTAATTGAAAATAAACAACTGCCCAATAGAAAAACAAAGTTACGTTTTCATGGACACTTGTTTCAATCAGAATTAATTCATTCCAATGAATGAATCTGCACGTAGTGTTTACATGAGCTAAATAAAGTGATGGGCTCTATATGTAACAAACTTACAATCAGAATAGATTTTATTATGTGCGCTCAATGCACGAATATACAGTTTCTCACTGTTTGTGCATACTATTGTCCTACATTGCTTTTTTTCTTTGTTAAGGCGAGACATGGCAGGCAAAAACATGTTTTTTTTTTCACTGGTCAATTTTGAGGTTTTGGCCTATATGTCTTCAATAACATGTCTTCTTTCAAACTTTTTTAGGTCTTTATTTTACGTCCTAGGAAGTAGATCTAGTGTGGATTGTGCGGTTTCTGCGTTTGAATATCTTCACCTTTTGCAGTTTCTTCACTCATTTTAACTACTCTGAAAAACAGCAATCTGTCGCGCTGCACCATCCTCAGAATGTGCGAACGCAGTAGTATACTTGGCTATACGCAGTGAATTCGTGAACACTTCATGTAGCATTTTGATGGGTTTTCTGAAAATGAGTGACTCACTCAATAATTAAATTTTGCTTGTCGTTAAAACAACAATTACGAAACCAGCCCTTACAATCCGAATTTTAATTGCATTTGGCCAATCCATTCCAGTTTACATAGTACCTTTTTTTATTTCAACTGTGCTACTAGTCTGATTATTTGGGTCCATTTAAACACACAAACACACACACACACGGATACAATATCAGTATTGAAAACTAGGGGTGGGGGAAAAAAATCGATTCTCGATGCATCGCGATGCGGACGTGGACGATCCTGAATCGATTCACAAATATCAAAAAATCGATTTCAAAAAATATGTTTTTTATATGTATTTATAATAACGTAATATTGACGGAACACGAAAGACGGAACTCTGAAGCGCGGAAGTGCAGTGGCCGGACCGTCTGTGGCGTGCACATAACAGAGATGAGATGGCACGCGAGATCCAAACACTTTCATTGTTCGGTTAAAAGCTGACGTGTGGAAATATTTTGGCTTCTGAAGTTGAAGGGGGAAAGGAGCTGGACAAGAGCCGCACTAGTTGTACGCTTTGTGGAATAAAACCAACGACAGAAACACGACAAATATGATAAGCCATATGTACCTTTCCAGCCAGAGGAGGAAAAACACTCGGCTGCACCAGTCGTTATATTATTTATTTACTACATTATATTATATATTATATATATTATTGTATGCTCCTAGTTCAAGCACACATTTATTTTCCTGGTCGTTCTTTGTAATGTTAATAAAATATATTGTGCATTAATTCTTTATGGGTCATTAATTTATACTTTTAAAGCAAATTATTTATAGTCACACACAAAAGATTCAGATAATCGATTTGTAACATTATAAATGTCTTGTACTTTAACTTTTGATCAACTTAATTTATCCTTGAGGAATAAAAGTATAGATTTCTTTTTTCTTTTGCCCAAAAAATTAAATAAAAATTCTTACCGACTCCAAACAATTGAACGGTATTGTTTAATGTTACAAAAGCTTTCTATTTCAGATAAATGCTGTTCTTTTGAATTTCTGGGTGATTCTCTGAATCGGGTGCCCTTCAAGTCCCCCAAACTTGCTTCAAATATTTTCAATTGAAGGAAATCACAAAATACATTTTAATGCTGTCAATTAATAGAACCAGGTGCATTTGCATTATAATGCAACAAAATTGCTTTTGAAAAATTTTTTAAAGTTAATAAATGTAAAGATAATGAGTTGCCTAAGTAGTAGACAACAAGCATGTTTGCATGTCCTCACTAACCATCATTATATTTTCAATGAATATCAAACAAATAAAAAGTGCAATTAATACCAAAATGTTGCTGCTGCTAATATAATCATATGTTGATCTAGTGTATTTTCGTTTACTGTTGTGAAATGGAAAATCAATAATCGGTAATCGACTGTAATCGAATCGGGACTTCAATAATCGTAATCGAATCGAATCGGGAAATCAGACAGATTAACCACCCCTATTGAAAACACAAAACTTTACCACACAATAAACAATAGAAATAACATTGTTAAATCAAACAGTCCATGTCAGAAAGTTTATGAAATTAGAACAATCAAGTAAAACCCATGAATTTCTTTTTAATTTTCTAAATTAAGTGTATTTTTGTTTTTGTTTTGCCACATACAGGCTTGAAATCAAATCTCTCAGCTACATACCTCTAAAATGAGTGTGTCTGAGGAGAGAGATGAGGAGGCATTTGTTCTCACTCAGAGAAGAGCAGCATCTCCAGGATCCAGCTGTGTGTCCATGAAGAGTAACAACTCCATGTCTCTGCCCCCTAATCTCAGTGATGGACCATCTTCAGGATTCAGCTGTGTGTCCATGAAGAGTAACAACTCCATGTCTCTGCCCCCTGGTCTCAGTGATGGACCATCTTCAGGATTCAGCTGTGTGTCCATGAAGAGTAACAACTCCATGTCTCTGCCCCCTAATCTCAGTGATGGACCATCTTCAGGATTCAGCTGTGTGTCCATGAAGAGTAACAACTCCATGTCTCTGCCCCCTGGTCTCAGTGATGGACCATCTTCAGGATTCAGCTGTGTGTCCATGAAGAGTAACAACTCCATGTCTCTGCCCCCTAATCTCAGTGATGGACCATCTTCAGGATTCAGCTGTGTGTCCATGAAGAGTAACAACTCCATGTCTCTGCCCCCTAATCTCAGTGATGGACCATCTTCAGGATCCAGCTGTGTGTCCATGAAGAGTAACAACTCCATGTCTCTGCCCCCTAATCTCAGTGATGGACCATCTTCAGGATTCAGCTGTGTGTCCATGAAGAGTAACAACTCCATGTCTCTGCCCCCTGGTCTCAGTGATGGACCATCTTCAGGATTCAGCTGTGTGTCCATGAAGAGTAACAACTCCATGTCTCTGCCCCCTGGTCTCAATGATGGACCGGCTGTGACCTCTGACCCTGCGTGAGTATCATTCACTATCTGCTAGAACTGCACGATTCTGGATGAATTGAGAATCAAGATTTTGTTTGTTTACAACTAAACAAAATGTGTAATTTACTAGAGGTTCTAAAAAAATTGTAATTGCTTTAGATCTTTTTAAAAATATTTAATTAATTTAAATTAATTAGTATTATTATTACTTTAATTTTTACATTTGAATGAATGATACAATGATTTACTTGAATCATTAATTGAGGAGTCAGCGTTTTTGAACAAATCTCTTGAAAAGATTTGCAAAGAGGAGATCTCTCTTTGCTGGAAAGATCCAGGCGCATTGTTGTGGAAATTTTAATCATACATTGACTAGTAGTGAAGATTACTAGGTAGTTTGAGCCATGTGTTTCCATTGAACCTATTCTATGAGTAAAAATATAGATGTACGTGCTTGTGGGTGACTTTCGGGAACATATGGAACAGGACCTCTGACCTTAAGGATGGTCAGATTTGGCCAGTTTATTTCAGTATCAGTTCTGTCCTTGTCTAGAAACTGAACAGCAGAAAGGACATTTTCTGGAGCCAACTTATAAGGAAGAACCTTGAAAAGAGTATAAAAAATGTCTCATATCTTCATGAGGGTGTCACTCTCATGCACAGCGTAACTTCTGTGTGTCAGACTGAACCTATTGGAGGAATAAATCATTTTAAGAGACCTTTTGTCTCAGAATGTCTCTTACGCAGTGATATTGGTTGGTTAATGTTTTTTTTTTGCCACAACAGGCATTCAACAGTGTTTTGCCACATAAGGCAAAGTGCACTGTTAAGTAATGTATTTCCTCCAGGTACTTTGGCATAAAAGAACAAACTTGCCTAAAAGAGCAAGCACGGGCGGTGAGCGTCTTTAAATATGCCTTTTAGGGGTTTAACGGTTCACAAAATTCACGGTTCGATACGATACACTTGTGTCACAGTTAGTTATGGTACGGTTTGGTATGTTTTCGATACAGAAAAAAAAAAATGACAGATGAATATCCAGCATCTCGAGTGTGCTTGCCACACGCAACACGCCTACATTTAAAATAACTAAATTTTGGTCCACAAGAAAAATGGTCCAATGGACTGTTCGGTTTGAAAATGCATACGTAAACCAAACCGAAAGCCTTGTACCGAACGGTTCGATACGAATACGTGTATCGTTTCACCCCTAATGCCTTTCCATCCTTGTGTTTCTGGATGCGGTAATTTCCTGACAATAGCCGCTTTCCGACCAAGTAGTTACAGGAACTTAGTTATAGGAACTGTCCACTTCTAAACAGTTCTAAGAACTACTCTCCCCCAAACTCGGTTTTACTGCTTGCGTTCGCACTAGCCAAGTGGCCATAGGAACTGGTTGGACACAAGCACGGCAACGGTCTTACAACAAACCAGCATGGAGGAGGTTATTGCCGGGACCTTAATAACGGAGAATGAACGGCGGCGTTGAAAGATTATGCTTGAGTTCTGTACAGAGAAACATAGAAGACGAAGGCTCCAGCGTAATATGATATTAAGTAATATGATGGAAGAAGATAAAAGAGCAGAGCGCAGGAGGCAAACAAAACGACGGGTAAGTTTAGCTAGCATTAGCAATCAGCTGGTTGAATGTGTTATGTTTGTCTTAATCCTCGTTGTAATGTTTTGCAAAAACAGAGCGCGTATGGCTGACAGCGCGCTACAAGTTCCGTGTTGACAGTGGGCATGACTTGACTCATAAGTTGAACCAATCAACGTAGACCTAGGGAAAGGGAACTAAAAAAATCCTCGCTCTAGACTAGGCACTGAAAGAGTTAAAGGAACTACGGTCTGAGGAACTAAAAAATCCCCAATTTAGTCCGGTCGGAACACGAGAAAAAAAGGGTTATAGGAACGTTAGGTTCTAGGAACTGCAAAAGTCCCTCCGGTCGGAAAGCGGCTATTGTCTGATGGCCATGCACTGTCTTACATGTCTGGGCCGCGAGCATACTTGAGTCTGCGTTCATGAATGATTCCTGTCCTCAATGCAAGAGCATGACCATGTCGACCAGTGCTTCCCCACTGGCTCATGTGCACAATCAGACTTGGCTGAAGGATTCAGTTCATCAGGCATTCCCCCACGTTCAGCGGTGGCCTTTTTTTTACCTCAGTTGCAGCCAAAGACGCTCCTGTCCTGCAAGCAGAAATTGTGGTCTTTAAGCCGAGATGAAGTCAGGGTTTTACAAGATTGGTTATGACCGATCTTGGATCAGCGAGTCTTGAACCCTTTCACAAGCTCCCCTTCAAGATAGCGCAGAAACACAGTACCACATGCATTTGGCCCCAAGATTGGACTGATGCATACTTCCACATTTCCATTCTGCCTCAACATTTCGGTTTGCTTTTGAGGGTCGGGGGTACAAGTACACTTTGCAAAATTACTCGTCAGGCAATTAGGCCTAAGACATCGCAGAGTCACGCGGACCTATTACAACCCGGCTATGACACATAATTGGGAATAACATGCACCACCACACCTTGATGCGCATGACAAGAATAGCATGTATAGTTATCTTTATTGAAGTGAATTTGGTTTAAATCGCCATCATGCATGAATGAATTATATTTTTTTTGCTGTTTTACACATAATAATCCACAATGATCATATTACACAAAACTGAAATTGCACGTCAAAATAAGAGATCCCCAAAATTTCACAAATAACGTTTTCAGGGGAGCCCGTGTCTTATTAAGGGGAGCCAAGCTTTCCCTAGCTCCCCCGTAGTTCGCACCCTGTGTGTCAGCAGTGTGTAATGGTAAATGGTAACACTTTTTTAATCCCCATAAATCATAAGTAGTCCCTCAGAACAAGCCATTTGTAGAATGTAGATTTTTTGACATCACAAATGCTTAGGCCCCTCCCACAACTGCTGACGGACTCTGCCCAATCAGCATAGACCCTGAGCTGTACACAGTCCGCCATGTTTATCTCCTCGCCAGAGCATTTTACAGAAGCTTTCAAGTAAGACATTTATTTTTATTAAAGCTAATAAGTTATTCAGTCAAAAGCAGTGAGTGAATTTTCGGCCTCTTCTTTTTTTGTTGTTGCTTGATTCATATTAACAGCATATTAAGAGTTAAATGCAAAAGCTGCTAAATGCCACTTCCGTCAAACATGAGATGATAATAGTGAGCAAATTCTCTCCGCACATAGTATAAGTTCATCAAAGTTTGTTACGTATATCCAACTTTGTGAAGATCGACGTTCCCTGCAACCTCTCGAAGGCTAAAGACATCAGCGGCAAAGGATAAGTATTCTTTACCGTGATGCTGTTCAGCCCCCGTTAGTCAATACAAGATCGCAGGGATCCATCCTTCTTCCCCACAAAAAAGAACCCCGCCCCCACTGGAGAAGAGGAGGGAAGGATGAACCCCGCTGCTAGAGAATCAGAAATATATTTCTCCATAGCCTTTCTTTCTGGAACAGAAAGTGAATATAATTTGCCCTTAGGCGGAGACGTACCTGGCAATAACTCTAAAGCACAGTCATAGGGACGATGCGGAGGAAGAGAAGCAGCACGAGACTTACTAAACACTTCCTTCAGATCTAGATGCTCCGTGGACACGTTTGATAAATCCACTGCTTCCTCCTGAAACATAGACACAGACGGACAAGCAGAAACAAGACAGGACTCATGACATTTACTGCTCCATTCCGATACCGATCTCTGCTGCCAGTCTATTTTGGGGTTGTGTTTGATGGGAACAAGGGGGAGTCCAGAAGGTAGAAGGAAATAGCCTCTGTGTGATTGCCAGACACGCTGAGCGTGATGGGTTCGGTGATGGATGAAATGGTGGGAAGTGCTTGGCCATTGAGAGCATGAACTGCGATGGTACGGGTGAGAGGTATGATGGGAGCCTGAATCTTGTGTGCAAATGTGTAGTCCATGAAGTTACTCTCTGCCCCGAAGTCCAGTAGTGCTCGACAGTCGTGAGTGTGGGCTGACCACCTGAGTCTTACCGGGAGGAGCATAGATGTTGATGAGGTCTTCTCAGCGGAGTTCCCACCTGAGAGTAGCCTCCGATTTACTGCCGGGCTTGCCTTTTTCACTGGGCAGTTGGAAGCAAAGTGTCCTGCTGTGTCCACAGTAAAGGAAAAGGCCCTGGGATCTCTGCCTTTCCTTCTCCTCCCGGTAAAGCCGAGCTCACCCTACCGGCATGGACTCGTGATCGTGGACGGGGTTGAGCGTGTCACCGCCGCTGGCTCGCAGAGTCTCCACTGCTACCGATACTCAAGTGGGTAACCTCAGACGTTCGACTTAGTAGAGTCGGTAATCCACTCGGAGCGCCAGTTCGATCAACCCATTAAGGGTGGTCAAAGGCATAAATCTCTTCCTGGACACTGTCAGCCAGCCCATGCAGGAACATATCCCACTGCGCCTCCTTGTTCCACTCACACTCTGCCGCCAAAGTCCGGAAAGATACGGATCTTTCATCTTGCTTGAATTCCACTAGAATCCGTGGCACCTCTCTTCCCGCGACTCAAAGGGCGAAAACTCTCTTCATTTCGGCGGCGAGTATCTGGAACGTGGTGCAGCATGGATCTTGGTTTTCCCACACCGCCGTCCCCCAAAGGAGCTGCCTTCCCAATCAGTAGCATAAGCACAAAGGTCACCTTGCTTCGTTCACTGACAAAGGTCCTGGGTTGTAAAGAAAAGTGCATAGAACAGCGTGTGATAAATGCTCTACAAAAGTTAGCCTCACTGTTGTAAGGTCCGGTGACCGGTAGGCGGGGCTCCGACTGGGAAGTGCTCTCTAGTGGTGTGGTGAAAACGGCCAGTGTGGGTGGAGGACACCAAACAATGATCTGACAAAGAGTGGAGAGTGTGATGAGCTTAAATAGCAGAGTGAATTGGCAGCAGCTGGTGCCGGGATTAAGATCAGTAGGTGCGTTGATCTGCATAACGAGCGGTAACGCCCATTCACACACGCTCAACACTTAAAACAACAATTACATGAGACACGAAGAAAACAGCGAATTCATGAATCGTGACACATTTAACTTACAATAGAGAGAAATAGGACTGGCAGAAAAGAGCCTTTAAGATACAGATTGGCCGGAAATAATCACCATCCTAACTTTAAATGCTAAATTCAATGTACAGAACATTTCTCAGTTTATATACTATTGTATTAGCCTGACTTCGTCATACTCATATTCAAGAGAGAATATTGGGCTTTGATTATGAGGCGTGTCGTATTCGAACCAGGAAAAAAAACAACCTCTGCACTCAATTGGATAGTCGGTAGACCTACAACCAATCAGAGTAACGCAGTAAGCCAACTCCTTTGCATAGCGCAGTTTTCAAATACAGAACGTAGCCTAACTTTACTTATTTTAGAAGTTAAATAATGAGTGTTGCTTCTTTTACTTGCTTCTCCATGAATGCGACCAAAGGAGAAACCACAACGACCACAGGCTTTTCATTACGTCCCATCTTCTTAACGACCGTCAGAGCCAGCTGATAAGTTACACTTTTCCCGAATCATGTAGGAAGGACGCCAAAAATATCTTTCCGATCAACAAATGCCTTGATTGCAGTTCCCTGTTTGTCTATTAAAATGAATGAGCTGTCGATTAATTTTACAAAAGACGCGACAGCGGACTTCGGGCTGGCATCCAGGCTACTATTGTATTGAAACCTAATTAAGCATTTCATAAAATTTGTAATACTACACTGTGTCCATTTATTTAATTTTCTATGGAAGTTACAAAACAAGCTGTGAGAATGAAAACTGTTTGCGAAAGAGGGACGGGGTGGAATATTTTCCACTTTTTTCTCTTTCGGCCATAAACTGTAAATTCAGGGGGAAAAAAATTAAGTGGCCAAAATTTCGGTGCATCCCTGCCTAATATTTGCCTTGTGTCTACTTTGGCTCGCCCTAAAAATGGTCTGGAAAAGACATAGCAATTGAAGAATTAGTGGTTCAATTTTATTTATAATACTATCCCTCAGCAATTCAAGCACAACCTTTTGTTTATAGCTTTTATTTTGCATTATTTTCAACTAGGGTAACTTAGGCAAGTGTGGTATATTTTTCTGGCATCAGAAATGATCTGAAACACAATTGTTGCCACAGTTCTTCTGTCTTTGTTTTGTTTCTTCATGTGATCACAGACAGACTTGATGATGGTGAGATTAGATAATTTCCGAGTTACAAAAAAAATCACTAGATTATTACAATTAATGACAAAATGTAAACTGTTATTTCCTACTGACACGCTACAGCAAAACATATCAACAACCGGCTTAAAAACATTTTTTGAGGGGACATTTGCACAGTAGTGTATATCTCATTATGATCTGAAATATATCTCTGTTTTTCTCAGTATCATCAGCAGGAAGAGAAAGATAGCAGCATCTCCAGTATCCAGATGTGTGTCTATGAAGAGTAACGGACACATGATTCACCCCACTGATCTCTGGAATGAAGCCGTGCCCTTCGACCATGTCCATGTGTGAGTATATTCATGCACACTTAAAAATTAAATCTTTACTCTTTTACTTACTGGTTTGTAAAGGACTACACGCCTGCGCACATATATTCAAATGCGTACGTAATACACATGTGCATGCCATCAGCGTTCTCACAGTAGGGCTGGGCAATATATCGCGTGACATTGTGATGCGCGTCTCTTCAGTAAAGCCGGTTCCTTGATTAGTAGTAAATCACCTTCACCTGCTTTCAGATGGAGCGGCATTTACTACAAAGAGCCGTAGTTCACTGACAAGCTGAGCCATATCGCATTAATATCGCGGACGTATCGCCAACAATTAATGCGATATGGCTCAGCTTGTCAGGTACTGTAACTACGGCTCTTCGTACACAGCAAAAACTCAGTGTTATTTAATACTCCTGGGAGTGTATATGAGTCCACACTCAAGTTAATGAGATAATTAAATTATTTAAATAATTTAATAATTAAGCTACAGCGGGAGTGGCTTTATTGCATCAGATACATGTCACTTTACTCACAGCTGATTGGTCCAGTTTGGGTTTGCAAATCTCTAACAGAATCAAACCTGCTCTGGAGCAGGTTAGTCGTGTAGCGTAACTCCTGTTTCACACATACTCCGATTGTAGTGGGTATTTATTTTTACGTATCCAAGAGGTCCGGCAATGCGTTCCAGCGATCCTTTCCACTCGTTTCTATCGTTTCTATTGTTGCTCTGCTGCACGCACTGAATTAAAGGAATGAACACGGACTGACAGGTCTGAGGCTGAGACTGAGTGCTGTGTGGAGACGTCTCTGCCCTGGATGACTCAGTGAGTGGGCTGAAATGTGAGCAATGCTGAAAAAGCTGTCGATGGTGCGGCTCAGTGACTGCTGCTTATATATGCTTGCAATTATAATTGACAGGACTGAATGACTAGGCTCCTTCCAAAACTACATTAAGAACTTCATTACTTTGTTGCTTTCTTATGCATCTCGCTATCATTTTTGAATGTCCATTTACACAGAAATTAAGCGCCACACTGGATTTTTGTCACATGGGTTTTCTGCATTGACACTCAGTATTATATTGACTGTACTTCTTTAAATAACAGGTCTTTATCTGCCTCCATATACCTGCTATGATTAGACCCTTACGCAAAAAAAAAAAAAATCCCTATATATCAATGATGAATATTTTAAATGATTCAATGGTATACAGTATACATAACGTCGCTGCCCGATGAAGCTCACGTATGTCCAAAACGGTTACTTTTCAGGAAGTGAAAAAAACATGTAATTTCAAAAGCAGCTGAACGCAGCGTTGTCATGCTTGGTACAACATCTTTAAATGTAACCATATTCTTGCGAGTGTCATGATATAATCCATATTTGACCCAAAATCGAGTTTAAATGGACATACGCGCATATTGTATAGTAACAGTGGTCGATACATGTTCTTCCGATCATTAATTAGAATGACCAAATCGCGTTTCATAATGACAGATGAATAGGCGACGCTCAATTTATTAAATGTTTTTTGCAAACTATGAAGAGACAATGAATCATACACTGACATGGCGATGCTAGACTGATACTTTATTTACACCATCCTACCGTAATTTTGTCGGATATGAGCTGCATTTTATTATAGATATGAGCTGCATATTATCATCAGCTAATTTCAAAATCAAAGACATACATCAATAAGAGCTCAGCAACAGCCTGCCCTGGTAAGATCACTTCGTTTCTTTACTTGAAGATGATTGTGTGTGTGAGATGATTGTGTGATTGTGAAGATGATTGCGCCTGTGACTTACTTTCAGTTTTGACGCTCAGCTGCTCATCTGCGGTGATGCGTATTGCAGTAGCGCCGTCATATCTGACTATAACGTGTCATATAGCCTATATAACGCGCTCTCACTCGTTTATTTTTTTTTTTAGCATTTTTAGGAGGAGTAAAATATAGGCCTACATATGTGGTTTCAACAACCAGATTGCGTTTACTAGTAAAGATCCGAACACAATGCGAGCCAGACTACCTCCAGATGGTCAGGCAGATCCGATCACAACGTATTTATACCTTGCATTAACATGCCTTTTTTATTATCTGGATAACTTATCTGGATACAGATCGCATTTTAATACCAGGTGTTAGGGGTCTCAGAGACGAGACCGGCGAGAAACTTCACGAGACCGGCGAGATGCCTCCACAGGGCGGGGAGATACCATACTGTCTATGGGAGATACGCTGCGTGATTGACAGCTTTGACAGCAAATGGAAATACGTGGAAATCAGATGACATGATTTTACAACTTTCATTGGTCATTTAGATAATGTGAAGCATGCTGTATACAGAAATGAACCTGGACATTCTCTCCGTCAAAAAATCTCAAAATCGGCAAAATGGACATACGCGGTTTTCATCGGACAGCGACGATAAGAATACATTGTGTTAATATATTACGATATATTGAATAATACAAAGAATTGCACTTTTTTATATATTAAAAAAATTTGACCATATTTTTGTCAGGAATAATAAGTCAGAGGATTCAATTGCAAGCAAAAAGGTAAGTTTATTAATGATGGGTAGCAGATTAGAAGATGATCGGCAGGAAAGCACTTGGCAGCACAGGGACTCTGGGTAATCCCACCCTCAACGGAGATGAAGGTGATGAGAATTGTAGTCTGTGAAAGCCAGGGTTGTTGTTGAGATAGGAGAACCGGAAGAGGTCGATGAAGACGATCAGCAGTGCGGGAAAGAGCGAACACACGAGAACTGGAGACAGGCAGGAAACACGGGACAGGAAATATACAGTGATCAGATATGGTACTGCATGTGTAATATATTGTAGATATATCTACTCATGCAGTATAAACGCATATAAAGAGAAATATATAATGCTATTTATGTCTTATATTTTATAATTAATTACATTATAAATGTAATTTATATCATATTTTCAAGCTAGTTAACAAAAGGACAAGCACACCTGCATGTACTAAAGTATTTAGCCAAGATACTATCGTTGTACTGAGGAGGGCACAGCCATTACTTTTAAACTATAGCAATTATAGTCTTAATGGTGTTTGGCCAATCCATTAAAATTTAGAAGCAGAACATGCTGGGAACTAGAAATCTCTTGTAACCACTGATTGTAACTCATTCCTTGAGTGTTTATGCGTATGTGTGTACTTTATGAATATTACTGTAGCAAAGGTATGTTGTTGTGGGAAGGAGGAGACGGGAACTGGCGAACGTTCAACGTATTTTAAAAAACAAATACAAAATGAAAAGGCAGCCCCTCACGGTCGTCTGGCGCACACATGAAAAAAGATCTACAAAAAATGACGTAAAATCCAGGCCTGATCCTCACTTGTCCTTCACTGTCATTGCTCCTCCTTTTATGCTTCTGAAGCTCCTCCATGAGAGATATGAGATACGGTCATCAGTAATCACACATTCTCTCGTGGCCCTCTGCCTTGTCCTGCTTGCCACAATTACATGTTATGCTATTTTTGTCTTCCTTTGAAAATATTTTATATGTATCAATACATGGACAATTGATATATTGCAGTATATTGAAAAATATAAGCCATAGTTAATTATAATTTCCATTTATGGAAATGTATTAGTAATATATTGCATTATGTTTTGTAGTATGTTACAGCATATTTTGGTTACGTAAGGGGTGATATACAAATTGTACAATATTGGAGGGGAACATAACCTTGAACTTTGTCATGAAATCAAATATATTTCTTATTTGTAAAAGAAGTTTATTAAACAAACACTTCTTTATCATTTTGGTTAATATTAATAACATCTTTCCATATTAAAGATATTTACATATTTTCTCTATTTTGATACATGTCTTTTCTGTTTGTTTGAATGTGTTTTCAGTGGTGAGAGATCTGACCGGATCAGAGATGTGTCCTGTCAGACCAGCTCATCCTCCTCCTGTCAGAAACACATCAGTCATCATGACACAGAAGCAGCCCTGCAGCTCGATTCTCACCAACCAGTGCATGATGATCTTCAGAGAGTCAAAGACCAGCACAAAACCAGCATGAAGAACAGATATGAGAGCGTATTTGAGGGAATCAAACTACAAGAGAATCAGACTCTCCTGAACAGGATTTACACACAGCTGTACATCATAGAGGGAGAGAGTGAAGGAGTGAATGAAGAACATGAGGTGCTACAGATGGAGAAAAGTTACAAGACCCTCCAAGACACTCCAATCAACTGCAACGACATCTTTGATCCTTCACCTGAACCAGGATATGAGGAGAAGAGAAGAGGGAAGAAAGACAAAATCAAGACTGTTCTTACTAAAGGCATCGCTGGAATCGGGAAAACCGTCTCTGTGCAGAAGTTCATTCTGGACTGGGCCGAGGGAAAAGCCAATCAGGATGTAGATTTCATGTTTGTGCTTCCATTTAGAGAGCTGAACTTGATTAAAGATCATCAGTACAGTCTTCACAGACTTCTGCTGGACTTTTATCCTGAACTTCAAGATCTGGACTCAGAGATGTATGATGAATGTAGAGTTGTGTTGATCTTTGATGGTCTGGATGAAAGCAGATTGACACTGATGTTTTCAGACAGTGAGAAAGTTTCTGATGTGACTGAGTCTTCATCTGTGGGTGTGTTGATGTCAAATCTCATGAAAGGAGATCTGGTTCCCTCAGCTCTCATCTGGATCACCACCAGACCAGCAGCAGCCAATCAGATCCCCTCCAAATACATCAACCGTGTGACAGAAATTCAGGGATTCAATGAGCCTCAGAAGGAGGAATATTTCAGGAAGAGAATCAGTGATGAGTATCAAGCCAGCAGAATCATCTCTCACATCAGAAGAGCAAGAAGCCTCCACATCATGTGTCACATACCCGTCTTCTGCTGGATCTCAGCCACTGTGCTTCAAAACATCCTGAAACAAGATCTCAGTGCAGAAATCCCTCAAACTCTGACTGAAATGTACATACACTTCCTCCTCATTCAAACTCATATGAGGAACCAGAAGTATGAAGAGAGAGATCCAGAGAAACTCCTGCAGTCCAACAGAGACGTGATTGTGAAACTTGCTGAACTGGCTTTCAATCAGCTGATGAAGGGCAATGTGATGTTCTATGAGGAGGACCTGATTGAGAGCGGCATAGATGTCACTGACGCCTCAGTGTATTCTGGGATTTGCACTGAGATCTTTAGGGAGGAATCTGTGATTTATCACAGGAAGGTTTACAGCTTTGTACATCTCAGCTTTCAGGAGTTTTTTGCAGCACTGTATGTGTTTTTCTGCTATTTACACAAAAAGAGTGAAGTTATGAAAGAGTTCCTCACTGGAAAGTTCAGAAAACAGTGTGAGAATGTTCCTCTGGATGTGTTTCTGAAGGATGTAATGAATAAAGCCTTGAAGAGTAAAAATGGACACCTGGATCTTTTACTTCGATTCCTTCATGGCATCTCACTGGAGTGCAACCAGAGACTCTTACAGGATGTGCTGATTCACACAGAGAACAACCCAGAGAGCATCAAGAAAATAATCAAAAACCTCAAACGAGGTCAAAAAAACAATGTCAGTCCTGAAAGATGGATGAATCTGTCACACTGCTTGATTGAGATGAAGGATCATTCTGTTCTTGAAGAAATGCAGGCATTTTTAAACTCTGAAACAAAAAGAAAAAGTCTCTCTCTTGCACAATGCTCAACATTGACGAACATGATCCTGATGTCGGAGGAGGTGATGGATGAGTTAGACTTCTTGAAGTACAACATCAAATCAAAAGAGGGTAAACGGCGACTGGTACCTGCTGTGAGGAACTGCAGAAAAGCTCTGTGAGTGTGAAAATATAAAAATCTGCAGGAACAAATGCCATTGTCCTATATGAGATATGCTTTACCTTGTGAGTTATTTTGAATCTTGATTTATAGTAAATGCATATAATTTAACACCGCTTGCCCCTTCAGATGCTCTAACAGAAACTTTTGCTGTTTAATGCGTTTGATACATATTTTCCTCAGTGCATAACTTACATTTCACAGGTATATTCTGCATAAATGTTGGAAGGTCAAAAATATTTCCATTTTGCTATCAGGAGTGGACAAACCTTATGCAATCAAGTCTTCAGTAAACTTTAGAGACTTCAGTGTACAAGCGCTGCTACACGCCAAACAGACATAGCATAACAGAATAGGAGCGGCATAATTATGACTGAAATATATTTTTTTTATAATATTTGTTGTTGGAAATTAAATGTGCTCTATGTAGAACTGTAAACTACAAGATTACAAGTAAATGTATTTTTTATAATATAAGTAACTGTAAATACAGTTAAATACAGGCTAATATACTAAGCTCAGGGGTCGTATTCCCAAAGAATTTTATCTTACCACTATATCACACTAAAATATTTTAGCTAGGAGTTTTCTCTTAAACGTTATTCACAACGCCTTTCAGACCTACTCTTAGTAAGGAAAAATGACAACTCCTAAACTAAGAGTGAGTCTTCGTTGCTATGGATGACGTCAATTTTCATGCACGAGATTCCTCGCAATGATCACAGTGATTGGTTGTTAGATGACAGGGCCATCATGCGGAACATAACACAGCAACAAATCATGGAATTATGACATCTAAATATGTCTGTGTCCTACACAAACTAATAATAAGAAAAAAAAGTAATGTCATCGAAATGCATTGGCTATATAATGACACGTTTGTGCAGGCCACAGTGAAGTGTAATTATAAAAAGGCAGAGAGAGAAAAGTCATGGATGAAATTATTCAAGGTAGCCTAAGGGCCTGCAGTGTTCACTTATCGCGTCTTTTGCGCGCTCAAGTTCGTTATTTTAAATGTATTTTAAATGTCCGTTTTTTTCCAAGCGCGTCCGTATAGAGCGCACCGTAGGTCATGTGACAAGAACCAACCGGAGCGCAACCACCGGGAGAATGCGGCGCGCCTTGGGTTTTTAGGCGCTATATGTGAATGGTGCCATGAAAACCTTCACTTGCCTAATAATGAAAAATGACACTTGCATTAACATTTGCTTGGTTAATTGACATTCTTTTAGCCTAACTAGACTCTTTAAAGCAAGGACGTTGCTCTTATTGAAGTAATGTAATAGTTGAATGACGGTGGATTATGAACTCGCCAAAATGGAAAAGAAAGCCCAACTGGACGCAGGATCAGTTACTGCTGCTGGCTCAGTTGGTGCTAGAACAAAATAAAAATAAAAACATAATAAAACTAAAATTCGGCACTGGGATATCAAGCAAAACTAAGCATGAAAGATGGGAGAGGATTTGTTTGCAGATTAATGCAGCATTCCCGCTTGTGTCGCGGACCCCGGACAACTGCGAAAGGCGCTGGTGTCGCTACAATCCTTTGTGAATAGGTCTTAGTGAGTTAGGAGTCCTCTCGACTTCTTTTAAGCTGTCCCAGACTTAGGTGCTACTTTTAGGGCTAAAATGCTTTGTGAATTACTCTTAGTGAAAAAAATTAGGAGTCCTAAAATTAGGAGTGACACGCCCATTATTTTTAGGAGTTGCTCCTAAATTCACTAGTTAGGAGCTACTTTTAGCCTTAAAATTCTTTGTGAATACGGCCCCAGATCAGAAAATGTGTGCCTCTTACCAGTTACTGTTTAATCTGTGCTTTTATTATTTATTTTCATTTGCAGTGAATTTAGCTTCAGTTTAAAAAAATAATTTGTTTTTTAGATTAAACTGTTGTTACAATGTTAGAATGCTTTTTTTGCACAATATACAGTATGTATATATTGCATGGCTTACTTGGTTACATTAACTATTTTTTCACAGCCTTCAACATGTAAATTGTTTGTAGGACAAAATTGGGCAGGATATGAAATAACTTTTTATTTTATTTAGAAATTTCTAAATGAGAAAATACCTATATATATATATATATATATATTGTATAATGCCGTTCAGCCAAAAATGAAAAAGAAAAAAAAGAAAAACAGAGATAAGATTATTTTGACTATGTTGCCTAGCCCTATGAACATAATTTCTAAGAATTTGTTATTAGTTTTAATGAGTAATTCATGGATTTGTATTCACAAGCATAATACTGTACAAATAGTACAAATTGTACTGTACATTTTCAACTAAATTAATACTATTAGTTCTCCTTTTTCAGATTTACAGCCTGTAATCTCACTGATCAGCACTGTGAAAGTGTGGCTTCAGCTCTACAATCCCCAAACTCCCCCCTGAGAGAGCTGGACCTGAGTTACAATCACCTGCATGATTCAGGAGTGAAGCTGCTCTGTACGGGACTGAAGAGTCCAAACTGTCAACTCAACATACTGAGGTTTGACCTATACGTATTCATTCAATATGTTAATAATCAAGTACAGTTCCATGTTTAAAATTTTTAAGAAGAAATATGAGGTATTCCACTTTGACAATACAAGTGTCCCACTTTTAACAGTATTGCCTAAAAGTAAATTTTTTCAGAAGACATCTTTTAATGTTCTTCTTCCTAGTGTTAAATTGTTTTTCTTTTTAATTATATAATTATTATATTATATTTATTTTTTGACTAAGGTAATAGAAATCTTAATATTAGCAATAAAAGGCACATTCGGGCCAGACAGTGTCACGTGTGGGTTTTGTTGTGTCTTGTATATCACGTGATTCCTTGTTTGTCATGTGATCCTGCCATGTCTTGTCTTTTGTTGTGTTGTTGCTCAGTGTCCACAGGTGTTCCTCGTCTATGTTTATTAGTCTCCCCAGGTGTTTCTTATTTACCACGCCCCCTTGTTATCTTGTTAAGCTTGTTTGTCTGTGTATTTAAACCTGTGTTTCAGTTGTTGGCTGTCGGTTGTTGTTTAATGTTACTTGGTGTCTGTAATCATCTCTGTCCTGTCCTATGTTCCCTGGATAACCTGTCGGAGTTATTAAAGTAAGCTTGCGTTTGGATTCACTCTCCATTTCATTCCTGACCAATCGTAACAGAACAACCGACCGCCAAATGAATCCAGCAGCACGGATCTCGCCTGATCTTCCCAGCATGAGCCGAGAGTTTGCTGAGAAGACTGCGGCCTTAGCCCTGAGGAGCCTTGATTTCCAATTCACCTGGGGGTGTGCTTCATTTGCTGCGTCCTGCTCCCTAGAGCAGTGTTTCCCAAACTTTTTTTCTGGGGACCCACATTTTAAAGTCGATAAATCCTTGTGACCCAATAAACATTAGGCCCATTTAGTTCATATACCACGGAGAGAATTTATGCATTAACGAATTATGTATGACCATTTTTAAGGTCAGTTAAGCTTCCAGTTAACTATTTAAAAGAGATACAGATATTTGACAAAGGACAATTTTTTTTTATTAACCTGTTGTTGACAATAAGCGAAATGCAGAGATGAAATGAGAAAGGAAGAGTTGACAGGGCATCTCATTGTTTTCATATTCTCAGCATTACAGTGTACACAATTTACTATAATAATTATTATAGGCTTAAATTAAAATATCCTGACAGTGAGACTTTGTAACCATGCATGACTCGCTACCACTGTATAAAAAATGCCTAAACAGGCAAAAAAAAAAAAAAAAAAAAACTATACACACAATTAATTATATAGGCCTATTTCTCTACCCCCTTAATAAATCTATGCAATATAAATGACTATAACATAGTAGGCTATTCAAATATTCCACATTTATGCCCAAACCATGGTAAATTATTACATTCATAGGCTATTACATGGTACATGTTTGTAATGGTGGTGGTTAGGGCATTTAGTCTTCTAATTTTGTTCATGTTTCTGCTATTTACCTCATCAGTAGTGTTGGGAATGTTAAGGCTGTTTCATCCGATTTAAAACTAGTTAAAATCATTGAGTGATTTGTAGTTTGTAAGAGAGAGGAGTGTCCGATTGAAACGCTTCTTACTGGATGTCGCAACGCTGTTTAATAATAGTGTCCGGGACCGGGAGTAAACACAACTCCTTTAAGCTTTGCGTTTCGTTATCCACTGGGCCGTGCTGCCTAGTTCAAAGTAAACTAGTGAAACGACTGAAACCAGCGCTATTTTGTTCTCTATTTGTTGTTACTGACCGAGAAACCGCTTCAGGTGGACAAATCCGAATCGTTTCAGACCGTTATGCACGCGCGTTTGGCCAATTCATGGAAAGGAAATAACCAAACCAACGAATGATTAATATCGCTGGTTCAGTCGACAGAAATACGGGACACACATAAGAACTGCTGAAATATTCGGACTGTAAACTTTTCTCTCAGGTCAGTCGGAGCGCTCATGATGGTACACACACAGTGCGGATAGTCGCCCAGCTGCACGCGCCACTGCGGCCACGCGCGTATCTAACCAAATTAAAAAGCCGCACCACCAGAAAATAGGAGGCGGGAGGTTGGGGTGCCCTCGGCCGTATGGAGATGATTGGCGGGCCGCACTTCCGCGGGCCGCCAATTGAATAGCCCTGATCTAGATAGTAGCCTATAGAAAACTGAAAAATAGTGCTCGACTTGGCGACCCATACAAAATCTCCCGCGACCCACTTGTGGGTCGGGACCCCGCCTTTGGGAATGACTGCCCTAGAGTATGAGGCGATAAAATTATGCTATCGGCTGGGGACTAAGGAGGTCAACCCGAATGAGCTCCCCGATCTCTCCGGCCTGGACTGGAGAGAAGCACTCTCCAGTTGTCTGGAAAGCTTCAGCCTGTGATACGCCAGACCTTCACCATTGGTCCCAGTTCCGGGGGGCCTAGTTCTGGTGGTCCCGAGTCCGGTGGTCTCAAATCCGGTGACCCGGAGGAGGAAAAAGGCCTCTTCAAAGATTTGTCAGCCAGCGCCATTTCAAAGACCCGTCAGCCCTGCCGAGCCTGCGCTCCACGTCAGCCCTGCCCCATCAGAGACGCTTTCACGTCCCTTCTGTCGAGCCAGAGACGCTTCACGTCACTTCTGCCGAGCCATTGGCTGTCGGTTGTTGTTTAATGTTACTTGGTGTCTGTAATCATCTCTGTCCTGTCCTATGTTCCCTGGATAACCTGTTGGAGTTATTAAAATAAGCTTGCGTTTGCATTCACTCTCCGTTTCATTCCTGACCAATCGTAACAGACAGGGCGGGCCACCACTGCTTTAATGGTTTAAAATATGTGAAAAATTTGTTTTTTGAACAATTCATTGTGAAAGCATATTCTAGTACAAATCAAAAACAAGACTTTGTAAAAGGGAATAATTTGGCCCTTTTAAAGTTAAAATAATTATACTGTGATGTATATCTTTATTATGAAATAAAATTTGTTTCATATAGGCCACAGCTGGCTGCCCACATAGCTGCATATTGGTTAGAGCATAAAATAATTTGATTTGTTTGTTAAACTTTTTGCACTTTTGTATTTATAGTCCTGTATAAGGGGTACTGCAGGACCCTTATGGCTCGTTTCCACTGAGGGGTACGGTACAGTACAGTACGGGTCGGGTCGGGTACACCATGATCAGGCTTGCATTTCCACCGCCAACAGTACCCTTACTTGATGGGCGTGCTGGAAAGAAGTGATCAACGTCATTTTTCGCGCTAAGAAAGCGACATAGTAAACAACAATGGATGACAGACAGCAGATCTTGTCACTAGAAACAAGCGCTGGCATTAGGCGTTTCCAAGAAGCCAACGCAAAGTCCAACTCAGGAGAATGATCCCGAGGACGCGAGTCCAGTAATTCTGTTATGGAACAGCGCGTTCTTGAACGCGGCACTCTGCTCGCTCTGGCTCTGTGACTCCGGTTATCTCTGTATGTTCATTTTAGGCAACAATAAAACGAAATATGTTATAAAACACCACTCTGCTTCTTTTCGATTCCATTTCAAAACATTTTAAACATTCTAAAGCACATAAATGGGGTTCAGGCAACGCATAGCCTATTGATTATCACTGCATATATGTAAGTTAACGTTATATTTATAACAAAACTAAATGTAAAACAACCCTGCCTCTTTTCATTTAAATTTAAAAATATTAAACATATTCCAGGCAATATGTAACGTAATGTATTGCATATCGCATTGGTACAAATGTTGTAATAAACAACATTATGATCTTGTAATAGAATAAAAAATGACAACTATCTCTTTTTGTTGAATTTCAGTTTTATCAATAATAGCCATTATAAAAGTATAAGTAAAAGGTATAAAATACAGTAAAGCTTAAATAATATCAAGAAACAATTCAGTCAGTCAAATATACAAATTCAGCGCTCAAAGATATGAAACTTCACGTAGCCTTCTGCCAAAACTATTGGCCAGGAAACGAATTATAGATTCACGAGACCAAAGATCACCTGTTAGGTTTATACAAGACGAACTATATCTCATGTTTAACCACTACAGAGACATCAGAGTCAGCGACAAACATCAGGATGACTAGCCGAGGAAAGGCTGTTCCAGGCGGGGGACCCGAGCGCGAGCGTCCGGTGATCGCTTGGAATGGGTCTCAGTCAAATTATCAAAAATCTATAAATAAACCACAGATTTGATCTTTAAAAAACTACTTTCTCGCCTGAAAAAGTCTTAAAACTACATTTCGTGACACAATAAAAGTAGAATTATATTTCAACTGTATGCTTCTAATGCCCTTGTATCACGCGCGAGTGACGATCCACCAATCACCGTTCTGCAGTGAGTCTAGCTCCACCTTTTAGTACCCTTTCACTGTGCTAGGTATCCCAACGGAAGGGTACCCAAAAAGTGGTACGGTACAGTTCGGCTTTTTGGTACCATTCACAACTTTTGACAGTGGAAACGCAAATAATTGCGTACCGAACCGAACTGTACCGTACCGTACCACTCAGTGGAAATGAGCCATTAGTAAAACCATATGCTGCATTCCTGATGCTGTATCACAAATCCTAAAAAAAGTATCTAAAACATTTGTAACAATGAAGGACACTAACATGAACACTTGTTGTTGTAGATTATCTGGCTGTATGGTGACAGAGGAAGGTTGTGCTGCTCTGGCATCAGCTCTGAGTTCAAACCCTTCACACCTGAGAGAGCTGGACCTGAGCTACAATCACCCAGGAGATTCAGGAGTGAAGCTGCTCTCTGATACACTCAAACATCTGGACAAACTCAGGTATGTTGATCATGTCTGCTGTGTGTATGAGAATGGTGGCATTTCATTGATTTTGTTATTGTCGAGCATTCAAGTGCAGATAGGATATTTATTAAATAAATAAACAAACCAAAACTCCCCGTGGGGTAAAACAAGACAGGCATATGGCATTACACAAGAAACACGAGGGAACATGGACAACGAACCAGCACAGGACTTGTTCTTTTAGATTGTAACTGGCAGTTGGCTAACCAACTTAAGGTGCATTTACCGCCACCTACCGGACAGGAGTGTGGTCATCGAGAATAGTCAGAGCGAATTATTCACCTATGCCAGGGGTAGTGTTGTCACGGTACCAAAATTTCAGTATTCGGTACCAATACCAGTAAAAATTCACGGTTCTCGGTACCAATTTCGGTACCAAAGCTTAGTTTAAATTTACATATATTTAAGTGTTTATCACGGTTACAAGTATGGAAACTGTACATTTGCATTATATACACTTTAGAAAAAGATTAGATAAAATGACCTAAAATAAACAATAGTATGCACTAAAACATTTTTAAAGTTGTTTGTAAAGTTTTAATCCGTTAACATTTATTTAATGCACAATGAATGAAGTGAACAAACATGAACAACCAAGTGTTTGTAGGCTATTAAATAACATTTACAAACATTAATTAATTTTGTAAAAATATATTGTTCACTCAATGTGTTGATGTGAACTAAGTAATGTTGATGAATGGTGTCTTATTGTAGCATTACCAAACTATACAGGAGATAAAACATGTTTTATTTGACTTGACTGTACTTTTATTTAATCTAAAACTGCATTCATATTTAATTTTAAAAAGGCTTTTTAAACCTGCTGAGTGTAAAGGCAAGAATACGCCTAGAACTGGCACTGACATTAAATGACATAAATAGGGATGCGTCGATACTAATACCAGTAGTACTCTGGTGTCGGATGGATACTACTGTGCTCATGTACTCGTAAAACTACCCCGGAAGCACTTTAGAGGGCGTTCACATATCGTGCGTGTTTTTTATTATATTTTTGCACGTGCTTATTCTTTCCAAAGCGCTTGCTCTCACGCGGCGTCTGTTGTTGCTATGCAACGAGTTTTTATTATGAGCGCGCTTGCCTCGCGCCTATATTTGAAATTGCGAATTTGCATGTAATCGGCCTCTTATGGCAACGTGACATTAGCCTAATCCAAAATATTTCCATATGTGGCTCTTTCCTCCTTTCGTGTCAACAAGTGGATTCAGAGAGAGAGCATATCAGCGTTATGAAGAGGACGCAACTGTGCACCTTTCATACAGCGCGTCTAGAACTGGATTAACCTGGTACTCGGTACATTTTTTTGGTAAAAATGTAAAAAATGGTAACTTTTTTTTTTTTTTTTACTACCGACTTTTTTTTAGTACCGAGTTTTTTGACAACACTAGCCAGGGGTCTCAAACTCAACTTAACTGGGGGCCGTTGGAGGTAGATTCTGGGTCAGGCTGGGCTGCATCAAGTATTCCACAAAAAATAGGATTCAAGTATTCCAAAAAAGGAGTACAACTGATCCAATGTTCTCAATCTTAATTATTAACGGTTCTTCTTAACTGTTCCTCTGAATTTGAACAGTCCTTTCTGAACAGGATTGGTTCTTCATGAGCTGTCCTTCTGACAGTTGAAGTTCATTTTACAAACTTTCTTTGTCTTTTCCTTGTAACTTACACAACATCTTTGTGATGCATCATTTTACAAACATTCTTTTTCTTTTTTTTTTTTTACAAACACATCTTTTTGACGCTTATATTTGCTCATGTCCTTTTTATTTTCTTTATTACAACAAAATATGATTGAATGTTTTTTGGAAGGCACTTTTCCATTTAAAAAAAAACATACTTAAAAAAAACAATTATTGCTTTTGAAATACAAATATTTTCAGTCATGTCTGCCGTCTTATTGAATCAATAAGACGAGCTCAAAATGATTATTCTCACATGTTCTAGAGCAGGGATCTCCAACACGTTGCTCGTGAGCTACCAGTAGCCCGTGGCCTGATTGGAGGTAGCTCGCCTTGGGCCTGTTCAGGCCTGTTCACATATCACGCTCACATATTTTGCGCGCGCTCAAGTACGTTATTTTAAATGTAGACGTGTGGCAAGCTGCTTTTCCTTTTTAAATAAAGTGTGATATAAATGAGCGTCCTGTCATTCTTTAATTCTCATTTCACTCAGCATCTGTGAAGTGGAGCAGGACAATGGCCACCAGTCCCTGTTTCAGACTCTCATCCACAAACGACCAGTTTTGGGCGCATGCACTTTTTTTTGACAGTCTATGGCGGAGAGGGGAATTTTAACTGCGTGATAAATAGCTTATAACCAGCGGCACAACGGTTAATATGTTCATTGTCTCCGAACTATCACCAGAAATGGATAAATATTAAGGGTTGCTTAAAACAAAGAATCAATGTAGGAGAATAGCTATTATGTGCAAACAGCGGGAAAATCTATTTTTTTGCAGTGTGTGAAAACAAACGTCTCTTGACTATTACTGTCAGGGTTCTGTCACTTCTGTGTGGGTTATATTTTGGTTGGTGACAGAGCTCTGACATTCCCAGTTTGTTCTGTGTTTAGGGCTTGACGATATGGGCAAAATTTATATCACAATATATTTTTCTCAATTTTGGTCGATACGATATAATTCCGATATCAATCTGAACAGTATAATATAGCCTCAGGATAAAAACTGCCAAAGAATGCCAAGAACGCCCACAATGAATGTCTGTACCTACAAACTTCTGAAAGATTAATTTGCCATGTCTCTGAAACCTCCTCCCATAAAACTATATTATATTTTAGAAATAAAAATGGTTCAAATAAATTGATGTTAATATTTTATTTGTATTTAGCCTTCATACAAACAAGAAATGTGAAATCACTGTCAAATAAAGATAAGACTCGAATTATTAAAATGAATATATTTAACTTTAAACTATAGCCTAACATTGATTATATTATTCTTATAGACTGAAAAAAAGTGCTTCAGCCAGGATAAAGAATATGAACAGCAGAGCCGGCTTCAGACCGCTTTTAGCAGGGGGGCATTTATTTTCAATGGGTGGGCACTAGGTAGGTATGGGGACTTTTTTTCGGATATCAGATATCCTATATTTATTATTGCTACTGCCTTTTCTGTTAGCTATTACCATGAAGTAATGCAACCCACACAATAAACACATAAAACATTACACATTGTTGCAAGACGAGCGACTCTTAAGAAATTTGATTATTTAATTTTGATTAAATAGGCCTATACAAAAAAAAAAAAAATTGCATGACCGACTCTGACCACAGCTTTATAATAGCAAAGCTAACGAACATGCACATAGTCTCTCACTGACAGAATAGTCGTTTAAATGCTATCTCATTGGCGGAAGTGAGAAAAAAAAGCTAAGTTACTCATCTTTATTCTGCTTTGTTCTAACATAAGCATTTACGTTCGTAGCCTACTATTAAAAAAGCATCATGTAGTTACCTTTATCAAATAAAACCTTTAACACCTTTAACAAATAAAAAACACCCACAACATACACATATTATTCTACAATTTCCATTTACAAGAAAATATAGGCTTAAATACCTGTTTCTCCAAGGCCAACACATTCTCACCCCAAGGCGTCACCTTTGACCATGCTTCAATATTTGACGTTTTAGGCGGCCTTTAGCGTCACTTACATGACGCGATCCTACGGCGTCATCTAACTGACGCTAAAGGAAAGCGTCAGTTAGAGGACGCGGTTAGGTTTAGGTGTGGGGTGGGGGTAGGGTACACGCGATCCTAGGGCGTCATCTAACTGACGCTAAAGGGCGCTTAAAGCGTCAGATATTGAAGCATGGTCAAATGCTTCCCAAGGCGTCAATTAGGTGACGCCTTGGGAGTGAGAATGGGCTGCCACGGCGGGAGTGAGTGACATTTCAGGACAATGGGCAGCGCAAAAAATAGGCCAACTAAACTATTAGTTTCATCACGTGACAACATATAGTGAACATTTACAGTACATGCCAGTTAGATAAATACACTAACGACTCGGACTCGACTGTCTTTGGTCTCGGTCTCGACTACAGCACTGCACGGTAGAAGCACCAAATACCAAAGCCGGGCTGTCGTTGTCTTGCTGTATGGGGTAATCGATGTGTAAGGAGAAACTGTGGTATTGAACCATTTTCTAATGTCCATTTTTGGAGAGTTTTCATCTGTTTGCTTTGTTTTGAATGCAGGAAGATCGCGCAGTCGCTCCAACTGAAAACCATTTCATTCAAGTATTAACGTGCGTGATTGGGGGGGCGGCAGGGGGGTTTCCTCACAGCATCACAATGGTTTTTATGTTGGCTTTATTGTATTTTCAGCTAATGAGCCGTTTGTAGACATATATTTGTACTATTTCTCACTGAAATGTGAATTAAATTAAACTGATATTATTTTGTAAATTATATCATAATTCAATTTGGGGGGGCATAAAATACATTTGGGGGGGCATTGCCCCCTAATGCCCCCCCATAGCGCCGGCACAGAGTTGCTGCAGGGGAAAAAACACAACAAAACAACACAAACACATGTTGCTGAGGGACATTTTGAGTGTTGATGACACCGAATGTAGTGTTTACATGAACGCTAAACAAGTGATCGGGTTGTCACAAGCTTCCCTCAAAGTGTTTTTTATTGAACAATCTTATCAAACATAAGATACACTTTTACAATACATTTTTTTTTTTTTTTATGTTAACCCACCCACCCAAGAACAATCCCCACCTGTTGCACAAATACACATATTAATTTGAAAAGCAGAAAAAAAAAGAAGAAGAAAACATTCATTTACATGTTTTAGAGAAGAAAGCACAAGTACAATATATTACTCCTCTGAAGTTGAGAGTAGAGAGGGATCCACCTTCCTAATTTGGTCCAGAACCGGTTGCCAGATATCAAAAAATTTATAGGCACAGCCTGCTGTAGCATACCTTATTTTTTCCATGGTAAGATTGTACAAGAGATCAATAAGCCACATTTTGAAAGTTGGAGGGCGCTTATCTTTCCATTTTAGCAGTATCTGCCGTCGAGCTAAAAGAGTAGTAAATGCTATG